TCCTGGGCGCTCTGAAGAAGACACAAATCGACGTTCTTGCCAAGCTGACTGTTCTGAGTCTCGACTGGTTCCACGACCTGATCCATAGTAATGCCATCTGGGTGGCGGTCCTTCCGGCTCTCTCGGGATCAGCTTTGGAGGTGTCGGAATGCGACCAAATGAAGGTGACCTTCTCCTCGACAAGCTTCTGCTCCTTCCACGCCGGTATTCTCTGCTATTGCCACGTCTTCTTCCACGATGATAGTCCCGGCTGTCTGATCGCTCTCGTCGACGTCTGTCCCTTGAAAGTGATCGTCTCCTCTCGTACTCTCGCTCCTGCATTTGCTTCACCTGCTGTGTCAACAACTCAACAGTCTGTAGCAAGGCCTGTGTCGCGGCATCAGGCTGACTTGTAGCAACTGATTCACCCCTTGGTTCTGCCTGTCTTGAGGTCTCGGCCTTGTCACGACGACGAAGTTCAGCATCTTCATTGTACCGACTCTCTTCTTCGGGTGCTGATGCCTCGGCTGCTGGTGCTTCAGGTGCTGGTGCCTTGGGTGTTGCTGCAGCGAGTTGTGGGTCTGGTGATGCTGCCCTCACGGATCCTGGTCCTCTATGGGACATGGTGTGTGTCCCTTTTGGCATGGGAACTGGCGCCTTCGCCACACTCGCCGCCTTTACCACCGCTGGTCGGAGGACTGGTGGTCGTTTCGGACAAGGCGGCGGCGGTAGTACTCTGGACCCGACTGGTGCCTGGGATCTTCGATCGTTCTCTCGGGATTCCACTTCTGAATCGTATACCACCAAGCCAACATGACTGTATGTTGGAGTCGCCTTCAACCCGAACTGCCTCAAGACATAGTCCCTTGACCTCAAGGCTGCTTCCAAAGCATCATGCGACTCATGCGTGCACATCGCACATTTGCCCTTGCATGTGCCGCTCATCTGGCTCCAGGAATGATCCTGGTTGGAATGCGTCAAGGTCAAGTGAGCTCCCGGGCATAGCTTGCTGAATGCCGTTGCCAACAACCATCCAAAGGATACCGATCTGTGTCTGTTCCGCCTGCAATAGGCTATGACAGCCAGCTGTTGTCCCTTTTCATGGCAAGCCTTCAGGTGATGAAGTCCATATAGCAATGCTTCCATTGTCTTCTCGCTGGCAGTCATCCCTCGAATGATTTCCGGATGTGTACCGACGTGAGATCGCAACTGCGGGTCGTGTTGAGGATCTCCAAATCCCATGCAGTCAAAGATCAACAATCGCCTCCCGGGGTCAAATTGTGCCAAGATGGGTCCCAATGTAATCAAGCTCTTGCTGCGATCAAAGCTTGCAATCTGGCCATTGAACTCCTTTCCACACGTCAGGACATGCACACAAGCAGGGTCATCCAGCGTGAAAGTGCCTCTAGTCGGGCGCTCTTCGTCAGCCATGAATGCAGTCAACAGATCTGATGGACGAATGTTGAAACTCATGTCATATTCCGTGTTCTTTAGTTCTCGAAGTTGCTTTGGGAGTCTCTTGGACTTTAGGCTCTTGAGACCTTCCGAGAGGTTCACACATAGAAGTCCTGAGTTCCTAGCTCTACACAGTTCAAGTTCTGCATTTCCTACATAGCACTTGGCATCACCCATAGATTTCGTGAAATGCAATGCAGCTTGAGCATGCTGTGACAAAAGCAATGGAATCTTCCCATCAACAACATGCGTTTCCATGACTCCCGGAAGTTTCGTCTCGGGGTCCAAAATTTAAAGGTCAAAGCAAATGGAATTCGACACTTGCCCAAAGTCTTGGTGTCTCCGGCGAGTCCTCGGAAAGCTTTTGAGTCACACTCCAAATCAGCTACATCATACCCAAGGCGTGCATACTTGTCTTTGGCGTTTTGGATCCATGCTTGTCCACACACAGTTGCATTACATCCTTCATCCAACACAGCCCAGACTCCAGGGTCTTCCATGATGTCAACAAGACGAAGTGTGTTTTCAATTGTGGCTTCATTGAGATCCGACAACAGTCCCATGTAGCAAGTTTCCGGTGCGGCCTCTCTGATGACCTCCACGGCATTGGCAAGGATCTCGAACAGGACGCCAACCCTCACGGGTTCGCCAAATTCTAATTCACACTCAATCTCTTGTCGAAACATCTCCATGACCTCTAGAGTTCCTTCAGCTGACATGCATGCATCGTTGATTTCATTCTCAATCATGGATGCTGTCGTGTCGAATGCATTGGTGCGCATGCCTACCATACTCTTTGCCATTGCCTCTCTCTTACGCGCCTCTTCTCGGGGCATCTCGTCGACAGTGGTTCCACACAACTTGCAGTACCAACGAGACGTGGTTTTCGAACTGCCTCGACGATCTGTGACCTCATGCTTGCACTTTGCGGGGTCGGCCGAAGGTTTGCTTTCCTTCTTCTTTCTTTCATTCTTTCCGCAGTCAAGGCATGTCTTGTTCTCAACGTAGGCATTTGAACCTTGAAATGTGAATCTGGTGCAACGACGACATGATTCCTCTAGCGGGGGGTTTGGTGGTTTTCCCTTGGCACTCTTGTCTCCAGTACGTCGAATTGCCTCTACTGGCACATCTGTCAATGGATGCTCTCTCAGGCTTACGTCTCCGTCCTGACTGACTTCATAGTACGTGGTTACCCAGGTCAGAAAATCTGCCAAGCAACGCGAAGGGTGCGAAATGCCTGATCCCCATTGATAGTATCCAGGATATTTGAACAACACTTCATGGTATGTCAAACCTTGGTGCTGACCAAACACAAAGACATTCTGCGAACCTTCAGGCAACAAGTCTTGTTCCATGTCCTTCTTCCTACGCGTGACCGGCGGGGACTTCTGCGGTGACCGACGGACATTTGGCTCGACCATCGAAAAGCTAGACGGTGGACTGCTAGTCACTCCTGACGACATGGATGCACGGTCTGACGGTTCGAACTCAAGCTTCTTCTTTGGGGACATCTTGTATGCCATGTAGCACGTACCATTTTCGACAGGTTGACCACTGACATCAACACACATGTATTCACCTTCAACAGAAGACTCATCGTCACTCAATGCAAAATAGGCTGTGGCTTTACTCGTCGACGACGTTCCTCCAGGGGACTTGTCGTTCTGCTTGGGGAACTTGCATGCTGGGTCTCCTGCCCAATGTCCTTTTCCCCCACAACGCAAGCATTTGGACACTGACTTCAACTTTGCTAGACGTGCAATCCTGTCCTGCACACTTAAATGTGTCCTGAACACATACTTGCCTTTCCCCTTGCTCTTTCCACCTTTCTTTCCTGAACCTTTACCTTTGCCTTTGCTTTTGCCCTTCAACTGGTCAGTCACGACAAAGGCCATCATTTGATGCTGGGCTGCGCTGCCCAGTTCCTCTGAAACATCGTTTTCTTCATCATCACATTCTCCCATTGCCATCAACGCTGTGGCAACTTCAGGGTCTTCGATATAGTCTTCATGTTCTTCATCATCTGGTTCTTCATCTTCTGCTGCGACATAAGCTTCATGCTCATAGTCGTCCTCTGCTTCTGCTTCATAGGACTCTTCATAGTCCCAAGAGTCATCTTCAACAATGTACGCAGATCTTTGCCAACTGCGCCCTTTTCCTCCTTTGTAGGAAGACTTGCCTGAAAACTTGCCTCCGCCTTTCTGCCTCCGAGGGCTCGTGTTACCAAAAGCGGACCAGCTGCGCAAGTGAATCTGTCCATGGAATTCAAGCAAGAACTTGGCGTAGACGTCAAAGGATTGGTTGTCGCCTGCAGCTGTCTTGATCATGAGCTGTTCTGTCTTGCTCAAGCCAGAACCTTCCAGAAGTAGCTCACCACGCATGGGGTCTGAAAGACTTACCCCATCATCCATCTCCAAAAGCTTCCTCCACCAACGACGTCTTCGTGAAATGTAGCTAGTCATGCTTTCTGTCGTTTGGCGAGACAAGGGACCATGTGGAAGTTGACCCACTCTGAACAACTCACGTGCTTCTTGTTGTCGAAGTGGAAAAACTTGTGCACGGATACGCGATATCAACTCATCAATGCCAGTTGGAGTCAACAACTTCTCCAATCCCATGTCTTGAGCTGTGAGGTATGCATCACCTCGCAGACCTTCCAACACCTTGTGAACAAGTGTTGCATACTCTGCTCCATCATCATCCAGTCCGGCAGTGCTCAGAGCTGGTTCTTCTTCTCCTGCCACGCTCTCGGACTTCGGGGTTCCAAAAGCTTCAAATCGTGCCTCGTCATCCTCTGATACATCCCCAGCTTCGGTCGCATGAGTCGGCCTCCTCTGAGAACGTTCTGGTGTGGCTGATTGGCTTCCAGGACTCGAATAGGTCTTCTCTGACTTCTTCTTCGCATGTTTCTGCTTGTGCAAAGCAACGCGGACCTTGGTGCGAAATTCCCATTCGAAGAAACCATTTGGATTGCCACTGTAGATGTATGATCCGCTCTTCGTCTCCTGTGGTCCTGAGATACTTCCTCCATGGGATGTGTACCGCAGGCCAGCCAGCGACATCGCAACTCAACAAGTTTCGCAAAGCACTGGAATTACAACGGTTCGACGGATTGCGCGCAGGGTCACGCAATTGGGTTCAACGGGTTCGGATCCAGCGAGTCTCCCCGGGTGAGTCAGATCCTGAGGGTGCCCCTTCAGAACCTGCTCCGCTACCAGTTTGAATCTCGCACAGTTCCTTTTCGCAGCAGCGAATCAGCTCAAGGGCCCTGTTCAGCCGAAACAGCAGCGACGGTGCATCAACTGTACGCAATACACCCTGGCTACAACAGCTGAAATTCACAGGAGTATATGATGGATCTTGTCAGCTCGTGTTTCAGAATGACAAAGCATCCAACTCCATTTAACAAGACTCAAGTTGATTCATGCTTCTCGGAACCTGTCTTCTGTTCTTGGGACTTCATTCTGCCATTTTCTCCAGATCAGGTTGATTCTTCCCCAAGTGCATTTATCCCACCCCATTCGGGGATCTTTGAAATGCCCCGGACCCGCCCCAAAGAACCCCGCCTCGATCAATCGATGTGACCTCGGTGGAACTCTTCAGTGTGAGGATGTGGAGAAGAATGGACATGGGAAAACAATACACACTTAGGTTGATCTGATGACATGAGTATGACTGGAAGAAGGATGAATGTAAGCTGTGTCTGTTATATGCTTGGCACATGTCGAAGACTGAAACCTGGGTGCCTCATGGTGCCTGGAGCCGTCCAGCATGGAAGTGGGCAAACTGACCGGACGTCCATCCTAGGGGAGTCTAGAAAGGACACCCGTCCTGTATGTAGGTGCGGTGTGTGTACTAGAATAAGGAGACCTCCCAGGCAACGACCCCCCTGGAAGAAGGAACATAGACCAAGGCCCCCTTGGTTGGGGATCTCCCCATATACATCCATATCAACCTGGAACCCATTTGACCTCTGTTTTGATAGGAACAGACTGACCATATTTTGGGTGGTTGGTGGTTGGTGGTCCAAAATAGAGGTCCTTCAGGTTCCAGGTATAATGTACCAGGGCCTTCAAGGGGTGGTTCATGGACACCCTTTAACGGCTAAGGGGCTATATATATAGACACCCGACAGGAGGGTCCTGGTACATTAAACGAAACAGCGCCGTGCAGCGAAGTCCGCGCGTGAAGGACTCGCGGCCACTCCAAAGGCTTGAACGCTTCACCAATGGCTTAGTGATCCACACGCACAGCCACACCTCTCTGATCGAAAACATGGTTGGGCCATGGCATAGTGCATAGCATCATGCATAGCACACCAGCTCCAAAGCATGTGGCAAGATCATAGGATCCAGTCAATCTGACTTCCCTGCACCAAATTCATTGGCACAACCTCATAAACACACATCACAGAACACATACCCGGCTCTAGTCACTGAGTTGGCGTAAACCCGGAACTCATCCTGGTAGGTTGACCTCTCCATCTGTTCATGTTGGTGCCAGAACCCATAACATGTTGCAACATGTTGGGTGTTGCAACAGAAGAAAGTACTTTGGAGACTGGCCCAGGCTCACCGTCTCCTTGCGGCCTGAGGCGAAGAATCTCCTCGCCAGTTCTGTTCGTTCCTTTGGTTCCCCGAAACGACCACCCATGCGACCGGAACGACCGAAGGACAAACCGACCGAGGCACATCCGACTGAGCATTCGATCCATGAAAGCCCTGAAGGCAGAGCGGCTGACCGCGAAGGCTGGAACGGGGCGAACCGGGAACGAGGGGGAACGTAAGGAACGGCGTACGACAGGGCAAAGAGGGCACTGGTGCGGTTTTGGGTGCATCGCTTTTCTTTTTTGTTTCCGAATAGGGAGGCAGATTGTCACAGGGAGGGAGACGGCCCCCCTTTGGTTCCGCGTTCCTGTCTAAACTTGGGGGTCTTGCACTGGGGGATCGTCTTTTGAATCATATTGAATGCACACTCCCATCTGGCTGCTTGGACTTCGACTTACACATTTACAACTCTATCGGTCCTCCAAATCCTCATTGGAATCGGATTTTGCGATCGAGGGCCCAAACATCCTCAGAAGGAACATTGAACCTCTTTGATACCCAGGCAGTGCCAGGCAGCTTTGGCAAATCCGAGCTCATCTGCATCACATCTGGGGCATCCAGGTCCCAATCTTGATCTTCAGACCGGACCCCGAGACAGGTCTAGTGGCACCACTCCCGGGGAAGGTGCAGACCGGACCAGAGCTGGAGGGCGATGTCAGAAAGGGATGAAACGACCACTCCTGGAACCGAACGACATGAAACTGGAGTTCACTGCAAAAAAGACCGTTCATTCCGTTCGTAGAGCGGAAGACCTTCCTTTCATGTCCTTTCAGTCTTCCATGCCGGGTGGTGCCCAGGGGCCCAGTGTGGACTGGGCACTGGCCGAGGCACGTGCGGCTGTCACAGCCGGGGCTTAAGTTCACCTCCAAAAGCCACATCTTCATGGCCTGAAGGGATCAACACGGCCAGGTTTCGAGTCGTTTCGAGTAGGACGAAAACCATTGCTTTTGTTGTTTGTTTGGTTGGTTGGTTGGTTGTTTGTTTGATTGGCTGGTTGGTTGATTGGTTGGTTGTGTGTGTTTGTTCAACGTATGGGAAAAAAATGGATGAACATTGACATCAGCATAACCCAAAGACTCGGACCATCCCATGGTGCAAGGATCCATCCCCCTGACCCATCTGACCCTCGTCTCGGGACGGCTCAAGGGGCGTGGGTTCATGACCCAACGAGGTGCCCAACGAGCTGCCCAAGCACCCTGTGCCTTGGATTCGGGAACAAATACAAGAACATTTAGGCCCACACACATCATAGAGAAAATAGTATATAAGATCATGAACTCTATGCAAGCCAGGGTGTGTGTCGTGTCGTGTCTTCCATCGATGTGGTGCCACCAAGGGTTGTCATTGCCCCCCCCCGATGAACAAAGCTGCTCGACAAAACAACAAAGAATTTCTGCTCCCAACGACGATTAACAATATCTTAGCTATATACAGCATATCAAAAACACACAAGTCCTGATTAATTATCTAGTTGAGGTCATAATTGCACCTAAAAAGATCCAAAAAGACTAGTTACTACGAGTAGTTGTTTTAGTCTCTAGTGCCACACTCAGAAACCAACCAAACTCACCTTCATCACCGACATCGGCCGACATCGCTCCGATGCACCGACGGACGCGCCGCTGACGGATCGCGCCTCGTCCAACATCAGGTCGAAGCCAAAGAGCTCAAAGCTTTCGGCGCGCGGCGTCAGCGACAAGGCGCCCGCACGGAGCACCTGGAGTTGCGCAGCGCAGCGGCGGTTTGCGCGGTTTGGTGGGTTTGGGGGTACCTTGTGGCTCCGGGCAAAAAATCATGGAAACATGGATCTACCTAGAACCTGATTGACCCTGTTTTGGAGCCAGCACATACAGTAGTCTTTTCCTATCAAAACAAAGGTCAAATGGGGTCTAGGTATATACTGCCGCTATTAGCTTTACGTTTCAATTCGAGATGATGAGCCGAATTTTCTGCCGCATGGATGGTCCCAAGCACCTGCGAAGGCAAACCTCAATCAGGGCGACCCCCAAAAAGGTAGAAAGTGATACTCAATCAGGGCCCCAGTTTCCTGTGTTCCGCGACGTCTCGGAACTCTAAAACTGCCTTCTTAATGGAACTATCGTCCCAGACACGACCCGTCTGGGACTGCCATAGGACCTCCAATCAATTGACCCCCAGTCAACCACCATCCCTGGCCGTGCTCGGCAGTCCGACATGGCAGTTCGCGTCTTCGGTCGTGTCTGGGTCTGAGTTCCCCAGTGATCCGCGGAACCCCCAAGATCCCCAGAAGTCGAAGTAACCGACGAGTCGAAGTCTGAAGTGATTGGGCAATGCCGGTTTTGAACCTAAGAGCGATGACCGGTTACCCTAGTAGCAATGGGCTCCACCCTACAGGTGCCAAATCTCAGATCTTAAAAAACTGGCAACTTCTGCCAGTTGAACCCCCCACAGGCTTCATCACCCATCGAGCACCAAGCAGGCAGCACGCACGACCGGGAAATACCGGTTTCAGTGGAATTTTCCCCATGTCGGAACGCCGGCGTGCACAAGGTGGAGCTCCAACTCCGTAAAGCTGTCGATCTGGGCCAATGATCGTTTTTGATGTTTTTGATCAGAATTCAACTCTTCCGCTCGTCCAAAGAACTCTTCGGCCCGGGGATGTCCTCAAATTGAAAGACCTCATGAATCATCTTTGGATGTCCCCTAGAAACTGCACCGCCAGACGCAAGGCTGGACCAAAAACCCACGAAAGGACCAGAACAAAAACTCCTGGACCTTCCTGTCAGGGTGTCCTGGCTATAGAGATCCATATAATTAGAGTGTAGCGGGGTTCCAGCCGGCTGATGCATTTGAAGGTGCTGGATGGTGCTGGCCATGTTTTGGGGGCCCAGGGCTCTTCTCAGATGTACTCCCGGCTCCCAATGTGCTGACATCGACCCCAAAAATGCGAGGTGCCTTCAGGTGCAAATAGGTGTTTTTTATTTATTGAGACCCCCAGGCCATGGGTCTTTGTCTGTTTCCGTTTGTCTACACTTTGAGAGGTCTCCCGATTTCAATGAGTAAAGAGCAGCGACAGCTTCAGAAACCATTTGAAACCAACCATTCCACGTCACCCTCTACTTTGCTGCCCGGGCTTCGGATTGCCCTGAGGCGCTGATTTCATGCCACTAAAAGGATAATGAACACATAAAATAAAAAAACAAAAGAAGGCAAGCGCTCTGCTTTTGGACAACAATGTTTGTGAGCTCCGCTATGAATGGCCAAAACAAGTTTGTTTTTTACGTATAATATGTGGCTGGCAACGGTACAGGTTGGCATCTTACAGCCTTGAAGCAGCTTGTGATAAATGGACTTATGTATACGGGCCAATCTCTGAAAAGGGTCAGCTTGCAACTACTGAAGTCAGGAACTCAGCATAATTTTTAAATGTGCTTTTGTCCGTGAAAAGAAACATCGGACGGGTGCTCTTCATGGTGGGTCCGTACGTTGCTCGTTTCGATTGACGTCCCATGTCTGTCATTCGAATGAATCGTTGCTCGACCAGCCCCTCCAAAGGATCATCACCAGCCCCTGCAAAGGATCATGGCATGTCTGACATGACCCGACCGACCCCTTGAGTTTGTGGCGTAGCACTTGAACCCACCGCAAGATCGCGCACAGCTTATAGGCAAGGACTTAACAATGGTAGCTTAGACCCAGTGCTGCAGTGAAGTCCAGAATCCGGATTTAGACCATTAAAGACCGAATCCAGGCTATCTCTGTGCTGTTGTTTTGTTTTGTTTTTTCAAGAAGGCTTGAACTCTCTGAAGCTGCCAACTTCCTTCGAAATAAAAACATATCATCATTGGCCCCGTCAGTGAGGAACGTGCAAACATCTCCAAAGGCACCACACAGACAATCCCAGTCCTTTGAAGTATCTCATACCAGGCAGGATTTCATCTTCTTCACACAATCTCGTACAGATTGTTCAACACTGGTAAGCCACAAGTTGAGTTCAGTTTGGGAAACACATGATCAAATCATACTTAGAAATCAAATGATGTACCATAAATCTGACCAATGATATCTCTCGCCGTTTGGATCGTGCTGAATCATGGAGTTTTCTTTTTGCATGTTTTTTTGTGTCCATTCCCTAGGGCTCCTGTCCCACATCCTGAGAAGGCAGTTGCACTCTGACTCACGAACATGGAAGTGGAACATGGCCCCTTGGAAGACTACTTTCCTTTACAAACAGTTGTTTTTTTCACTTCCATGTTAGTGAGTTGGAGTGTAGACCCCCTAAGCCGCCTAAACCCACCCCAACCACCTTCTGAGAATGTCGCCCCACGGATTGAAGTGAAGAACCTGATTTCCACACTTGCTTGGCCACTAGAGGTGACTTCCAGCAGTAAAGACTTGTCCGAAATAGGGTCTACACCTCGATTCATGAAAAGTTGGTGAACTACTAGGCGTACTGCATGCATCGTCATGGGAACGACCCAGAAATCGACCGAACTTGCCAGGCTCGTTTCACTCGAAGCAATCCTGCTCCGGGAGGCTTGCAGGACTGGCCAGACCCCTCCAGGATCTTCCAAAATTGGCAACGCCTTCTCTGCTGGCGCCTGTGCAATATGTATTGCATGTCGATTGCATGTCTTAAAATATGTTTGTACAAGGGTACAAGAGACTGCAAACTACTGGGCTGTTCCCAGTGTCAAAACGCCGAAAGAAATCCATCTGCCACGCTTCAATGCCTTTGGTCCAAGCAACACCCAATCTACGTTGGTCTAAATTCAATTGACACTCGTAGATATCCTGAGCCTGCAATCCATTGATGTGGTGCGCATGACTGATTTGGCAGTTCAATGCTGCTACGATATTTAGCACTATTTAGCCATTTAGCATTCTCATAGCTGTCATAACCCCCTTCCCCTCCTGAATCCCTTTTCTTGTACACTTTTGTATGGTGTGTGATGTTCACTTCCAGTTTTGCAGCGCATTTCGGTAAATCCTCCCCGAAAATTCTCAGGCGAACCCCCCAGGCATTGCACCCTACTTCTCGGCACATGGACAACGAAAACGAGGAATCCGCGTGCGGAATCCGCGTGCAGAATCCGCGGATGATCCTCAGCCGGTGTTCTGCATCCCCGCAGCAATGCCCTGGATACTGATGATCATGGCATCCCGCAACTCAGGGGGCACTTCTCCTTGGCTATGACGTAGTCGGCTCAAGACTTCTGCTTGAATCACCTCAGCAAAACATTTGAAACCAAGGTGTTCCACGGGGAAAATCCACATGAACGTGAACAAGCTCAGTGTGGTGTTTGATTGAGGATGCATCTCAATCCATCCATCCTTCCCTTTTGCAAGGAGGTCAAATGTAGCCATTGCCATGAAAACCCAGTGACACGTACAAAGCCAAACAATTTTGGGAGATACAGTTCAAGAGCCGAGCAAATGATGCGACTTGCCATTGAAAGAAAGCAAAACACATGCTGAACATTGCACTTCGCCTAGGTCTTAGGGAAGTAATTGGAACATAGCACAATATGTCACAATATTTACAGTGTTCTTGGATGTATGGTTTGATTTTAGTTGGCATGTTTCCTGAATTGTTACTCGCATGCCACCGCCAGTCGCTACCAATAGTCCAGGCATGTGTTCCAAGCCCTTGCAGAACACGTTGAAGCGAGGTACTGACACCTCCCAGACTCAAACTATCCATGGGACTCGAATAGCTACATACATGGAAACCCCATGTATGACCCCAATGTAAGTAACTATAATATATATTCCATACATATATGGGAGTGTCTGGGTATCTTGGGATAATTGATGATAAAGGGTACTGCGATGATCTGTCTTGAAGTTGCACAGTACTACTGATGTCGTGAGGCGCGGCAGCGCGTGGCAGCCTGACTAGGGAGCCACATCCGAAAAAGTAAGTTCACCCTACACCTCCAGTCGTACTTCCTCAGAAGGTATTGCACCCTCCTGGCACCCGGGCCCCCCAGTCCCACCGAACCGAAACGAAGGTACGACTGGAGGCTTAGGGTCATGTTCAGTGAGGAAACACATCTCCCCACCCGAAGGTCGAAGGTCAAAGGTTATTGATTGACTCGGAGTCGGGTGCTGATTTGATGGTGATGGTGATGGTCCATGCGGTTCAACAAATGTGATGTGTGAAGTAAAGCGCGGTGATATGTGGTGTGTTGAAGTGTCAAACATCGTTTCTTCGTGGTGTCTCTGATGAAGTGTAGCGGTGTGACGCATTCCAATTGATGTGGTGAAGTGCATAGCGGTGTAGTGGTGTAACATGTGCGTTCTGGTAAGCTGTGAGCAAAGTCCCCACTGGCGCATCGCCATTAGACTTCAAGAACCGGAACAAATAAACAAATAAACACATCTCCCCTGATCAGGAAGACGGAAGACGAGGAAAAACAAAGCAATCCTGATTAAAAAACCAACTCCCCTCATCCGCTTCACACGGAAGACGAGAAAAAAAGAAAAAAAAACACCTAATCTGGTGCCGAACTCACAACCTGCGACCACTTGCTCCGCTCCGCCGTCCGCTCCGGTCCCCGCTAGCTCCGCTCTCCCAGTGGCGTGTGTGGCGTCCAAGAAGGGTCGGCGCATGCTGATGGCCGTCTTCAAGTTGGGCTCACTGGAGAGCAACTCGCTGCTGCCTTTCCTTGGAGGCCGGCCTAAACCCGAAGTCGTCCTACCCGTCCTAAAACCCGAAAAAAAAAAAAAAAAACG